TCCCATAGCCAAAATCCAGAGTTGTGTGTATGTTTTATCCATTTTTATGCCACACTAGCAACTGAATAACCCTAATGAGGATCTCAAGGTCTGTATGTTACTGGTCTATGATGCTGGGTTATTTGATTCCTAAGCTGTTGAAAACAAGAAGTAAATTATGTTTGAATTTGAATTTGTCTCAGAATTTAAGACTGAGATGAGGCATTTCTGCTGAGGATTGAGAATTATTGGAGCTCCTTGCTGCAGAGTACTATGGGTGCAGTATCCTGCATATATTTAAGGCTGCAGTTATCAATTCTTGATCTGTAGGGGAATCGAAGATTATGGAAAAAAGGCTGGAAACTGGACTTGAGGCACATTGGATTAGTCATGATCCTACTGAATGGCAGAGCCGGGTCAAGGAGCAGAATGACCTGCTCCCGTTCCTGTTTCTTTTCGTTTAATTGTTTAAATATGATAGTAAAATATTTTAGTATCAAACAAAATTACAGTATGTTCTGGTCATTACAAGAATAATTTAAATGAAGTGATGTCTTCTTTATTTTATGACCCAATCGGTGTTACTGGTTATGAAGAACAAACAACTTAATTTTTTGATTTACTTAATGTTGTGATTTCAGTTGACTTTTATACTGGACAAGTTGGATCTTGGCTTGGCTTGGCTTGGCTTGATAGAGCATATCTTTTCTTTTCTAATCAGTCACTGAACATATTCACAATAAGTTCTCAATGTATTTTTCAGAAAATAACAAAGAAAAGCATGAACTGTATTGCACTACACAAGAACTATTGGTGCTTTATCATCAGAAAGAAAGATTAATCTCTATTATCCCAACAATGCCCTTAGAAATGCTCAAATCATCATCAACCATCAATATTATCTTCGTACTGAAGATTCTTGTTCCCCTGTTTATGGCTGTAATTGGTGTCCTTTCAGAAAATAGGTATCCATTCACTAAGTGCTATTTTCTTCAACTAGCATTTCTCCCTGAGATCTTTGAAACAAATTCTTAAATCAGCTCAGTATTCCATAACATTTATTTCCTGAACTTGTGTCTGAAACAGATTTCTACGATGTCTTTCTCTCTGACCCCATAGCCTTCTGCTTCTAGAGTTTACTTCCCACTGACTTCTGTGTAGCCTGATACTACTACTAGCTTGGAAAGTGCCAATAAAGCATTCTGGTTATGGGCTATTTCCTTCTGCATGAACCTGTTTCTGTCTCCTCTCATGTGATAAATGTTTTAACGCCGAAGTCAGCGAACACCTAACTCTTGTTCAAAATTACTTTGACTATTTTGTGAAAATAAAGGATCGGCTCTTCACAGAACCGAAACACTAAATTCATTTTTCTTCTGCTTTAGAACCCAAGCTTTCAAATAACCGTAGTACTGTTGAGCCCCTCTCTGATCTTTCATTTGTTTTTATTTTATTCATTTATCAATTTTGGTTTTGGAGGTGGGTACTGGGAACTGTGAGCTCAAGGTGACTTTTGGACGGCGGGGAACAGCTTGTGGTAAAAGGAAAACGGACAAAACAAAACATTCCTTGAAGAAGGGTCCAGACCCGAAACGTCAGCTTTCCTGCTCCTCTGATTCTGCTTAGCCTGCTGTGTTCATCCAGCTCTACACCTTGTTATCTCAGACAAAACAAGCATTTGTTTATTCAAGAGACCAGGCATGGAAGTTAATCGTGGGTTGGTTTCTGATTGAAAGGTTCTAGAGATGCTTCATCACCAGGGAAGAGCATGATTTTTAAACAGACATCAGAAGTTAGTGATGAATGAGGTCTGTTCCTGGGAATTGGTTCAAGCAAGTCTGCAGAAGACTTTCTGCTAAGCATGTAATGTATGGTAACTGGGACTTCATGGAGGAGATGGTCATCAGACATGTAGTGGTCAGAGTTATAAAGAAACTGCCTTTACCTGAGTGAACTGAACAAAACTTTCAAAAAAGAAATCAAGCAAGAAACCATCATCAATGCTTGTGGAACAATAGAATGGGAAAACCACTTGAGTAATCTAACCAGTTTTGTTTTATTGCTTAACTGTTTGTCTGTCTTTTGTGTGAATGAGGCTGAAAACAAAGGTTAGGGTTTAAAGCGTAGATATCAACTAGATTACTTTGTTTAATGTTACTCTGCTAAAGTTACTATATTGATAAATTAAGACTTGTTTAAGATACAAACCAGTATCTGGAATTGAGTATTCGCAGAGTCTGGAATTAGTTATTCAAAAATCAGGTTAGAAACCATTGGGGTCACTTATGACGGCCTTCGAAGGTTGTAATTTTACTGAATAATGAATGCGGAGGTAGAGGGACTGATTTGGTTCTGCTGTTGTCTCTTTGTCATAAAACTACCTTCATAGTAGTAATTAAAATTCGACAAATCTTTTGAAAGTGTGATTTAATTTGAAACTTGTAGAGAGCATCCATGATAACTGGATTTATTTGTTCCAGGAGTGAAAGTCTGACAGCAGAAAGCCATCCTGTGAAATCAAATTCAACATACAAACTAACTAAATCAAGAAGTGAATCAGACTTGTCTCAGCCTGAATCTGATGAGGAAAGTTGTGCATTTGTAAGTATTTTGGCTGTGAAGGTCATTAGAATGATAATTTTTTAGAAATGCTGCGAAAGGGTTTATTGTGACTTTGATAATCACAGCATGTCTCAAAAGGCTTTATAGCCAATGCAGTAAGTGCTCTCGCTATCATGTTGTATAAAAATGCAGCAGCAAATTGCGTACAGAAAGGTCCAGTAAAAGAGCATGGTGACAATGACCAGATAATCTGTTTTTGTGGTGTTGATTTGAGGAATAAGTATTGACCAGAAATTCCTGCTTTTCTTTAAAGTAGTGCTATTGGATCTTTTGCCTCGACCAAAGGAATAAAAACGGAAAGAACTGTGGATGCAGTAAATCAGGAGCAAAAACAGAAGTTGCTGGAAAAGCTCAGCAAGTCTGGTAGCATCTGTGAATTAAAAATCAGGGTTAATGTTTTGGGGCTGGTAATCCTTCCTCTGAGGAAGGGTCACCGGATCCAAAACGTTAACTCTGATTTTTTTCTTCACAGATGCTGCCAAACCTGCTGAGCTTGTCCAATGACTTCTGTTTTTGACCCTAGGATTAGTTCTGCAACAGCCCTGCAGGGGAACTTGAGCCCACAAATGTCTGACTCAGAAGTGAAAGCAACTTGGGATTACATCAGGGTATGAATCCAATTATGTTTTTGGTTGCAAGATTCCAATATGGCAGATGTTTCACAGTCTTGAAGTTATGAAACTTGTTAATTCCATCCATAAAAGCTAGACTGGTCAAAAACGTACAAGGGGAAAAAGTGTTTTGTGTCGGGGGAAAGTCCTATTGTTGAAGTTAATTGCCAGGATCGTTGAGGAGGGGAGGGGTGATTCTGTCAACACAGCTCCCATTTTTTTGGGTGTCTCATGTGTGGCTCAAGAGTTGGTGCAAGAGGGAGAGTTTTTTTGGTTCCTGATCACTGCGACCATTTTTGGGGAAAGTGGGACAGCCTATACCTGATCCACATTGGGACCAACATCTATGCAGGTAGGTTTGCTAGTGCTGTTGGGAGGAGTTTAAACTGGCCTGGCGGGGGAGGAGACACAGAACATTGATGAAACAGAGATACATCATGGTACAGCAAAGGAAACAAGTCAGAGTGAATTCAGCTATGTTGTGTATCGAGAGAGTCAGGCCAGGCTGGGTGGTTTTTAGTTTAATGCTAGGAGTGTAAGAGGTAAGACTAATGAGTTAATGACATGGATTGACAAATGGAAGTATGATATTGTTGCCATCACAGAAACATGGTTGAGGGAAGGGTAGGACTGGCAAGTCAACATTCTGGCATGTAGGATCTTTCGGCGAGACAGAGGAGGCTGTTAAAAGGGGTGGTGGTGTAGCACTATTAATTAGGGAGTTAATTACTGCAATAAGGAGAAATGTATCATTGAAGGGAATCAAACAAGGCTTTGGGGGTAAAACTTAGCAATGTTGAGAGGGCAGCCATTTCACTGGGAGTGTACTGTAAATTCCAAAGAGTCAGCGAGAAATAGAGGAGCAAGTATGGCAGCACGGTGGTTCAGTGGTTAGCATTGCTGCCTCACAGCGCCAGGGACTCGGGTTCGATTCCACCGTCAAGCGACTGTCTGTGTGGAGTTTGCACGTTCTCCCCGTGTCTGCGTGGGTTTCCTCCGGGTACTCCGGTTACCTCCCACGGTCTAAAGATGTGCAGGTTAGGTGGATTGGCCATGCTAAAATTGACGATAGTGTTCAGGGATTTGTAGCTTAGGTGGGTTATGGGGAGATGGGTCTGGGTGGGATGATGCAAGGGTCAGTGTGGACTTGATGGGCCCAAGGGCCTGTTCCCACACTTAGGGATTCTGATTCCAAGTAGGTAGACAGTTCACAAAGGAGTAGAAGAGTAATAATCAGGTAAATATATGAGGGAATTTCAACTTTCCCAATTTAAACTGGTATGGTCGTAGTATTAAGGGTTTTGACGGGGAGGATTCCTTGAAATGTAACCAGGAAAGATTTTTGCATCAATGTGTAGAAGGCCGAAAAAGGGATGGCACAGTGCTGGATCTGGTTTTGGGGAAAGAAGCTGGACAAATGTTCGGTGTTGTAGTGGGGAACATTTTAGCAATAGCAAACATAGCGCAGTATTGGTTCAAATTCCTTGCAGACAAGGAAAAAGATGTCTTCAGATTGGGGGAAAGCAGATTTTATTCAAAGAAAAGCAGGATCTAGCCACAGTTGATTGGGAACAGCTTGTGGTTAAGTCTACAGCAAAGCAGTGGGGGGGACATTCAAAAGAACCTTGGGAGAGGACAGATCCAACCTGTTTCCTTAAAAGGGAAATAAAGGAGCAGTGAGTTCAAAGAACCCTGGATATCTAGGACAATTCAGGACTGGATGAGGAAGAAGCCGTGGGCTTTTAGCACGTCCAAAGGGAGCAATTTAGCTGTAACCCTAGGGGAATACAGGAAGTGTAGGAGAGAACTTAGGAAAGCAGTTAGAAGAGCAGAAAGGAGGCATGAAAAAGGACTTTGAAACATTATTATGGAGAATCCTAAAATATTTTACAAATACATTGAAGGGAAGAGGCTAACCATGGAAAGAGTAGCACTCATTAGGGACTAAGGTTTCACCTGTGTGTGAAACTGCAGGACATTGGTGGTTAAATGAGTACTTCTCTTCAGTTTTCACTCTGGAAAAAGAAACCGTAGGTACAGAATTCAGGCAAAGGGACTGTGAGGAACTTGTGCAATTTGACATAGAAAATGGGGAGGTATTGGAGGCTCTGTCAAGTTTAAAAACGAACAATCCCGTGGCCTGGATGAATTGCATCCCAGGCTGCTGTGGGAGGTGGAACAGGAAATTGCAGGTGCTCTGATGCAATTTTTTAATTCCTCTCTGGCCACAGGGGAAGTGCCAGAGAACAGGAGGATCTGGTTCCACTTTTCAAGAAGGGTGGTAGAGATGAACCAGGAAATTACAGACTGCTCAGTCTCATATCAGTGGTACGGAAACTGTTGGAGAAAATTCTGAAGGACTGAATTAATACTCATTTGGAAAGGCATGGGTTAATTAGGGATCGTAAGCTTTGTCAGAGGGAGGTCATGCCTAACAAATTTAGAATTTTTTGAAAATGTGATCAAGTGTATGGATGAGGAAAGCTCGGTTGATGTAGTTTAGCAACGCTTTTAACAAGGTCCCAGATGGAGGACTGATTGAGAAGGTTAAAGCACAAAGAATTGAAGGAAACTTGGTTAGAATCTTGGATCAGAAACTGACTCAGTAGTAGGACACAAAGGGTAGTGGTAGAAGTCTGTTCGAGTGACTGGAGGCTGGTGTCCAGTGGTGTACAAGGATCAGTATTGGGACCCTTGTTGCTTATATACATAAATGATATCAATGAACATGTGGGGGAAATGTTAAGCAGGTTTACAGAAGAGCCAAGATTGGTAGAGTGGCCAACAGCAGAAAATTATAGAATCCCTACAGTGTGGAAACAGGCCATTCGGCCCACCGAGTCCACACCAACACTCCATTGAGCATCCTACTCAGACCACCACCTGACCCCTACCCTATCCCTGTAACCCTGCATTTTCCATGGTTAATTCACCTAGCCTGCGTATACCTGGACGCTGTGGGCAATTTAGCATGGCCAATCCACCTAACCTGCACATCTTTGGACTTTGGGAGGAAACTGAACCACCGGCAGGAAATCCATGCAGACACCAGGAGAATGTGCAAACTCCACACAGTCGTCTGAGGGTGGAATTGAGCCTGGGTCCCTGGCGCTGTGAGGCAACTGATGGCTGTAGGTTACAGGACAATATAGAGATGTTGGTCAGATGGGATCTCCATTGGGAGATGGTATTTAAACCTGTTAAGTGCAAGGTGACGTACTTTGGAATAAGGATCAAGGTAAGGGAGTATTTAATGAGTAACAGAGGGATCTTGGGGTAATTATTCATGGGTCCCTGAAGTTGGCAGAGCATGTGATCAGTATAGTTAAAAGGCATATGGGAGACTTGCTTTCATCAGTTGTGGAATAGAATATAAGAGCAAGGAGGTAATGTTGCAGTTGTACAGAGCACTGGTTAGGTCACAACTGGAGTACTGTGTCCAGGTCTGGTGCAGGAAGAATGTGCTAGCACTGGAGGGATTACAGAGGTGGTTCAACAGGATGTTGCCTGCAGTGGAGCTGAGAGACTAGATAGGCTTGGATTATTTTCTTCAGAGCAGAGAAGATTGAGGTGTATAAGATTATGAAAGGACAATATTTTTGTTGCTGGAAAAGCTCAGCACGTCTGGCAGCATCTGTGAAGGAAAAATCAGAGTTAATGTTTTGGGTCTGGTGACCCTTCGTCAGAACTGAACAGACCATAAGACATAGGAGCAGAAATTAGGCCATTCGGCCCCTCGAGTCTGCTCTGCCATTCAATCATGACTGGTAAGTTCCTCAACCTTGTTCTGCTGCTTTCTCCCCGTAACCCCTGATCCCCTTGATAATCCAGAACCGATCTATCTCCATCTTAAATGTACTCAATGACCTGTCCTCGACAGCTTTCTGTAGCAGTGAATTCCATAGATTCACCGCTCTCTCTGGGTGAAGAAGTTTCTCCTTATCTCGCTCCAAAAGGACTTCCCTTTACTCTAAGACTGTGCGCTCGGGACCTAGATTCTCCTACCAATGAAAGCATTTTCCCAACATCCATTTTGTCCAGGCCATTCAGTATTCGGAAAGTTTCAATTAGATCCCCCCTCATCCTTCTAAACTCCAATGAATATAGTCCCAGAGTCTTCAAATGTTCCTCATATGTTAAGCTTTCCATTCCTGGGACCATTCTCATGAGCCTCTTCTGAACCCGCTCCAGAACCAGTACATCCTCCTTGAGATATGGGGCCCAAAACGGCACACAATACTCCAAATGTGGCCTGACCAGAGCCTTATAAAGCCGCAGTAGTACATCTCTGCTTTTATATTCAAGTTCTTTCAAAATAAATGCCAACATTGCATTTGCCTTCCTGACTACTAACTCAACCTGCAAGTT